AAAAAAAGGCGAAGCTGCTAATTAAATTCCAGACATGATGTAATGCAGTACATACAAATTAAGTATGAGTATTCATTAGGGTGCCTCACTAAAACTAAAGTCGCTGTTTTTTCACTGGAATTACAAAATGTATTATATTTATAGATTTCTGCCAAAATACTTCGGAAGAAAATTAAGGCTTAACTTAATAACTGCAAAACTCTAGTTTTGTTATAAACTAAAATTAATTTTAAAAAAAAATTTTTTCCAGATATTACCTGAAATGGTAGAAGAGCTTAAGCTTAAAAATTCTGCATACAAATGTTTGAGCATTTCATCACCCGAAATAAAAGTTGTGATTTTTGAAGGTTTTATCAAATCCGTGCACGGATTACGCTCACGTAAATCTTAATTTTTTTCCAAACTTGTATAATACCGATGAAAGTACCAATTTTTTTTTTAGGAAAGTGTTGCACCCTAATGTACATGCATACGACGCTGTTAACAGCACTTTTTTTCTTTCTTTTCGTAAAAGATTAGCAATACTTTCTATTGTAAATGCGTTTTTTGCGTGCACGCCCTGTTGCAGAAGCAGGAAAAAGTGTTTCAAAAAATTGCAATGAATTGTTAACTAATTCAAGTGCAAACACAAATTTTATAAAAAGTAATAGCAATTCAACGAAGGTACATAGATTTAAAAAAATTAAGTGGCAACATTGCATTGGCCATTGTTGCTCTTTGCTGATGTCTTTTTGTTGTTTATATTTTTCCCAAATTATTATTTTTATTATTTTGCTTTGCTTGGCGTTTCGCTACTTCCTTTCGAGCCATTTTAGTACACTGTGATTGTTTTTTTTTTTTTTGTGTTGCGATTACTACGCGCTACCGGCTAATTTAGTTAGCCAAAGGTTAACGCACTTGCTATTACCGTAAACTCTAGCATGAACGCCTTTTTACGATATTTTATGCAAATTTCTATTATAACCATTTCCTACTTTTTTTCACATTTTCTGCTGCCACTTTGCTGACTTACCTAGCGTCTAATCACATTAGCGTTAAGGTTAGATGTTTTTTTTCTTTTTTTTATTTAATTTGCACTAAGTAGGCACTTCAATTTTAAGAGGGAATTTAAATCGCTATGTTTTTTTTTGTTAATATATCTTGTAGAAACTTCTTTCCCTCGAATGCGTTCGTACGTTTTTTGCTATTTTATGAATTTTTAATACTTTCATTTGTGCTACTTCATTTATTCTCCACTCATCTTCTCATTATGCTTCTTCTAACTATTATCTGAACTAAAAGTTCCTTGACCTTCCTCCCAATATCTTACGTGTTCATGATTAGTTTAAGTAATTATGTGTAGTTGTAAACAAAATTGCAAATAAAAACCAATAGGAAGAAGTGAAATGTGCATAGATACATAAAGTAGTGGCCTAAAGATTTCCTAGAAATACTGCGAATGGGCTGGCCTTTTTCACTGTTGAGAAGTGTTGTTATTGAAGTCCGAATATTCCCCTTTGTTTTTCCCCCAAACAAATTTCATTCAAGCGATAATATCGCCGCCTTAGAGTGTAAACCTGCTAACGACCAAAAAACATATTTTACTGTAGAGGCAAAAAACTAAATATATCTTTAACTCTTAGTCTGAGGGGCAAATCCTACATATAGTTTGTTAATCGCGCGACGTTCTATGGCCATAATCCAGAACGAATGAAAAAAATTACGTTTTTATGGTTTTGTTGGCGAATTTCTAACTTAGCAGGTTTTAGCTTTGTATTTTCAAAATTGAAGTGGATTTAGCAGGTTTTTTGTATGAATAAAATTGTTTCCATTTTATTTTTTGTGATTACGAGCTCAATTTAAATGTTAATTAAAATAGTATTCTATAGATAAAAACAATTATATATAAATATATAAAAAAATACAACAGATTTATTCTTCCGTTTATTGCAACAAAAATAGGCAGTTTATAAAACATATATTAGTAACTATACGTGAAGTATTCCTCTCTAAAATTAATAGTACAAAGACCACATATAAGATAATTTAAGTAGGAACTCAATAATGCCAGAAAGTATGATACATATTATTCAATCATGAGGTAAATTGTTATAGTAGGCGTGGTAATCTTCAGGAAGTAATCGTTTGAAATACTGGAGATCTCATACTTTCTGCGAGCGATCGTACGCCTACTCTCGTATAAATTCGGAAGGTGAGAAAACGGCAAGGAAACAGCTACTGGGGATTTTCTTTGCGGTATTACATCCCATTCGTTGGAGAATCTTATGCTTGAAATACAATACCGGCGAACGGCAAACTTCGCCGAACTGGGCGATGCTGTCGTTCACCATTCGCCCAGCTATTTCGCCTACTTAAACAGAATTAGAGCGGTAGCGAAAACAGCTGATCCCATTTGGTCGCCTTTATAATTTGGGTGACCATATTTAGAAAAAACTAAACCATATTTAGAAATGAGGAAATGATAACAAATATAAATTGTAAAACAAAGAAAGATTATTATAAATAATTTGTTTCAAGCCAGATTTAACGAATCCACAACTATGTTTTTCAAACAACAAAAAAAAATCGTGTTTAGGTTGTTTTCTTTTAAAACTTTGAAAGCAAAAAACAAATACGGCCACCTTTGGCACGCACAGCTGTCATCGCCCAGCAGGGCGATAGAAATAAATCTATCGCCATGGAACGCCGCCAAGCGAACTTCGCATTTCGCTTTGGCTGTGTTCAATTTCATATGCTTGCGGGTGTTCTAATTTTGACAGCGCGAATTTCGCTGTGGTGAGTTCGCCGTTCGCCGGCATTGTATTTCAGCTATTAGTTTGAAATGTATGTCGCCACTTGGTGTATACCGTAGAGCTCGTATATCAGTTACTTTAGCAGTATCTTTGCCACGACCGGGACGAATGCTATTAAAGAATTGGACTGTGTTAAAGCTTTTAAAGAACGTGTAACTAAGATAAGTTACGTCATATGGTTTGGGATTTTACCTAGCTGATCTACATACCTCAATGTATTCTGCAGGAACATGGATATCTCTTTTCTTAAGTGCTCGTTTGATAGTGGAATGGATACAATCAGCTTCCATTTAGTTATGGTCTACTTCAATAAACTTTTGCTCAATAATGATATTGTTATTTATAGCTGTGGATAACAAAGCATTAGCCATAATACTGTTTCGGTATTGATATGTGCATTCGTCGCTATAAAAAATTACTGTAATTGGCTCCCCGGAACTATTATTTGGTACTACATTTTTTTCTATCAAATCTACCCACACTCTGGAAAACTCTTCTGCATTTAGGCCCTTATTATGAGCTGCATTCGATTTTCGATCTTCGCTGGTTATCGAAGATCGAAGATCGAATGTAAAATTGGTATTATGAGCTATGCAACTCTGTCGAAATTTTCGTTGAGTATCGAATTTTCAGTCGAACAGAATTTTGCTTTCGATGCTGTAGCGTAGTGTGAGAAAATTGTTGAAAATGTAAGTATTTTGCGTTTGTTTTTTATTTTTTAGTGTCTAAACGCTAATTTTAAACAATTTGTATTAATTTGATGCAGGTCTAAGGTCGTGAGTACTAAACAGCAACTCGAAAGGCTGGTTTCATTGATGGAAGAAAATCCTCAACTTGCGAAAGGGATTTGTACGAAGCTTCAGGCGGCAAAAAAGTGGGAAGATATTGCGCTGGAGCTCAATTGTTTAGGACCACCAATTAGAACGACAGCAAAGTGGATTAAGGTGAATTAAAGTAATTTTTCATTGTATAAGAAAATTTCAGCTTTGTGTTTTCAGGTGTGGGCTGACATGAAATCGAAGACCAAAAAGAAAATGTCACAAAATAAGGCTGAATACCGAGCAACAGGTGGAGGACCAAACAGGCTTCAATCTTATACAAATATTGAGGAGGCCATAATTGGATTACTCGAGCTTGATGCCTGTGTGAATCCACCAGGAGCGGAATTCGGCCTAGATATAAGTGATAATCAGCGCCTAGATTCGCCTGAGCCGGCTCCAGCAGATGAAAACCAGCCACCATTCGATTTGGAAACGAGCAATGAAGACCGAAACTATGCAGTTGGCGAAAATACAACACGAACCCCCAGAAAAAAACGGTGCCACAAAACGGAGAGACTGAGGTTGTTGGAAGCCCAGACAAATGCCCAGAAGGCTTTTTATGAAAACGTAATTTCGAACATAAATGAAATAAAAAAAAGTGCTAGGGAAACTGAAAAATACGCAAAAAGAACGTACTACTTAAAAAAAGACTCAACCAAAGAACTCTTACAAATGAAAAAAGAAAAATTAGAAATTTATAAAAGTGAAGTTATGAGAAAGCAGCAAGATCGGAAAGCAAAATTGCAACTAAAGGTTGCACTTTTAGAAATGAAGAAAAAAATGTTGCCTAAACCATAACTTATAATTATATTTTTAGCGAATGCATTCAAGTGTTAATTTTATAGTAGTATTAAGAAGGCTTTATTAATCTTTAAGTATTATATGTAAGTGAATTAATGATATTTTTTGCCTGTGATATGAATTGAGAAAGGCTGTAAAAACTTTTATGTAGATTTTTTAAAAACATGAATTTATGTGATTTTTTATTCAATTTTTAATGTGCATATGTACCTTCATATCTTAAACCAATAATATTTATGAATTTAATAAAAGATACTGGAATACCTTTATTAATACTTTTTCAGTTATTTACAAGGTTCTTAAAATTTCATTTCTGATGTCTTCTGCTTCTGAATTCTCAATTGATTCCATCTCAACGACTCCGGCATCATCGTCGTGAGGCTCATTTGAAAACTCTTCTCCGTCGGGTATTTCTACATTATAGAATTGACAAATGTTGTGCAAAGCTGCGCACACATTTATTATTTGTGTAGCTTTCTTTGGAGTGTAATGAAGAGCTCTCGCCTGCAATAAACATCTGAATCTATTTTTTAAAACTCCGATTGTTCGCTCTATAATATTTCTGGCTTTTGCATGTTGTTTGTTGTATGTTCTTTGAGGAGATCCTTCCTCAGAATTTCTGAACGGCGTCATCAAGTATGGTTTAAGAGCGTAACCAGCATCACTAACGTGGATAAAAATAATTTAAAAAAAGGAAATAAATGTAGGTTTTGTATTTGATCATACCCAGTAGCCAAGTATTACGAATACCATTATGATGTTGCTGTTCTAAGTGTGCTTTCAATGATGACATATGAAAAACCATGGAATCATGTGTCGCTCCCGGATTTTTTGCATTTATGTATCTTATTTTCATTGTGTGATCACAAACCTAAAAAAATACAAAAGTGTACACATCTACAATTAGAGATTCTTAGCATGTATGTACGAAAATATATATACTTACAACCATAGCATTAATGCTGAAGAATCCTTTTCTGTTGTAATATAAATGCTGGAATTCCTTCTTGGGAGCGACAATTTTAATGTGCGTCCCATCAACACAGCCGATTATTCCTGGAATTCTGCTTTTGCTGTAAAAATGTGCTTTCGCTTGTTGCAGTTCAACCCCTGTGTAGATGAATTTTATCCATCTTTGGCAAATGAAATTTTCCAAAACATCAAGCACTTCTGATATCACCACAGACACCGTGGGCTGCGCAAGCCCAAGCATATTTTCATTCCCAATACTCAGTTGGTACGATCCCTGAGCACAAAATCGCAGAACTGTTGCTAGTTTTAAGATATTTGCAATAGATTTGGCTCGAGTGCATTGCTGCAACAGGTCTTCTGTAGCGGACAGCAGGTCCACAAACGCCTCTTTAGACAGTCGGAAGTTTTTTATAAATCTGTAGACAAATAATTATAAATATTATATAAATATGTGAAAATATATCCAAAAGGCCAGACTTACGCGGTTGAATCCATTTCTAAGGGATTGGAAGCGTCCCTTAAACGTTTTCTATTCCTGGCCAGTTCCACTAAATTCTCATCCTCTGAGGAATCGTCGAACCATAACTCCGTTGTACTCATCTTCACTAAGTTCTTATCAGCTCGCTTTATTTTTTACTTGATTTTAATTAACACAAATTTACATAAAACGTTGTAATAAACACGCTTTCTTTTCTTTTAGTTTGCTTAATATGTAAACAAAGCATCTCAGCTGTCAAAAATATACTATTGTGAACAACCTAAACGAGCGAAATTCACAATAGCGCTATTCTTCATCGAATGAGCGCCATAATACCAAATGAAAATTCGTTCGCTCAGCACTTTCGACTACAGTCGAAAATCGAATGCAACTCATAATAGGGGCCTTAATCTTCCTTCTGCTTCGTTCCACAAGTAACAATAATTTCCTTGAGATATAAAAAATTAAAGCTTATTCGCTGGCTATTACCTTGGCTTAAACGCATAAAGTATTACTCTAAGATAGAACAATAATCGAGCGACAGAAGCACAATATGTTGGATTCAGCAGTGGAATTTGAACTGATTGTACTTAGCAGCTTTACTCATCAAACAATTTTTGACAATTATATTTTTATATTGACGTATTTTTTTGCTTGCCAACTGCGAAATCGCCTACTCCTTCGAACTGCATCAAAAGGTCAATTTTGCCAAAAAACGGATTTAGCAGGTTTACACTCTAAGCCGACGATATGTACATCGCTACTGTTTCTACATGGAAGCATCGGTTAGAGACTGATATCAAACTTTCTATACCGGCGGCTCGAAAACTGAAAACTGAGCTGGAGATGGCGGGCATCTGGGAGGTAACTTTGGATGCTTTTCGGTTCTAACGGAACATTGTCTTAGCAACATTGACATATATCAAGTTACATAACAAAAAACAAAAAATAAAAAAAATCCGCTGTCTTACAAATCGAACTCCGATCTTTCGGATGGCATGCCTGTGTTTTACTCACTCGGCCACTGCGACTGTTGGAACTACGCGAGCTATAGGGCACACACGGGCTTTCTCTCAAAATAACTTCACCACGAGTGAATGAGGGAGCTTTTTTCTAAGACTTTTGGGCTAGAATAACAAAAGTCTTTCGAACTATCTTGCCATCTGTCTTTAATTTGTCTTACGAAAGACTCCTGTGCAATTCTGGAAGTGAAGTGTGATTTCGTGGTTCTTTGACTTAACAGCTTGGCTTTCACAGCAGACGCTCATTGGTTGTATTCTCCAAGTTTCACTAGTTATCCAGCCACTAGTTATTGTTTAAGAAAAAAATATATATATACTTTTTAATTGAAATAAATTTTTAGAAAACAATTTAATATATATTTTTTTCATTTTTAATTTAATTTTTTCTTTCTCAATTTAAATGTTGTTTTACAAAAATGCTATTTTTTATTTCACTTAATTTTTAGGACCTCATTTTATTTTTTCTTTTTTTAATTTATTTGTTCTTTGTATAGTTTAAGTTTTTTCTAATTTTAGATTTTATTTTTTAAAAAAGAAATTTAATTTTAGTTTTTAATTTTTAGAAACTTATTTCATTTTCTTTTTTTCCATTTCTCATTTTTCATTTTTTCATTTAATTTGTTCTTTTGTTAATTTCACTTTCTTTCAGTTTTTATATTTTATTGTTTTGAAAAGAAAAATATATTTTGTTATTTAATTTAATTTTAAGGATCCTATTTCTTTAATTAAATTTTCCTTAAATTTTTGAATTTTTTAAACATAAAAATATATTTTTTAAGGTTTTTTAACTTCCTAGTATTTTGTTATTATTTTAATTTAATTTTTTTCTTGTTCTAATTTAGTTTTTAAATTTTATTATTTTTTAAATTTTTTTTTAACTTTATTTAATTTTGAAAACATTTTTTTTTTTTTTGCTTTATCCTCATTCGGCCGCTGTGGTGTGGTGGTAAGCAGTGCGCGCTTCCACTCCGCAACACCTGGGTTCAAACCCTGGTCAAAGCAACATCGCAAAAAATATAGAAAAAAGGTTTTTTCTTAACAGCGGTCGTCCCTCGGCAGGCAATGGCAAACCTCCGAGTGCATTTCTGCCATGAAAAACAGCTTCTCATAAAAAATACAATCGCCGTTCGGAGTCGGCGTAAAACTGTAGGTCCCTCCGCTTTGTGTGACAACATCAAGGCGCACGCCACAAACCGGAGGAGAAGCTCGGCCAAACACTAACATATGTGTAAGCGCCAATCTATTATTATTATTATTATCCTCATTAATTTTACTTTTGAATCTAAAAATATACGTACACATAATTTTTTACTTAATTTAATTTAAAAAAGCATATTGCCAAAAGGCAAATAACAGCTTTCCACTTTTATAGGATCTTTTTAATACTGAACATTTGCCGTTCACTTATCTTTGTAAAACTGCTCCCTCTCTCTCTCTCTTCGTCTTTGAATTTCTCTATCTCTCCATCTCTTTCACAAGATATAATAATAATAACATATTGGCGCTTACAAATATGTTAGTGTTTGGCCGAGCTTCTCCTCCAAATCGGGGCGTGCGCCTTGATGTTGCCACACAAAGAGGAGGGGCCTACAGTTTTACGCCGACTCCGAACGGCGATAGCAATTTTATGAGAATCTGTTTTTCATGGCAGAAATACACTCGGAGGTCTGCCTTTGCCTGCCGAGAGGCGGCCGCTGTTAAGAAAAAACCTTTCTTCTACATTTTTTTTGCGATGTAGCTTTGACCAGGGCTTGAACCAATAGAATTGTGTGTCCTAACTATCTAAAGCATTTATGGAGCAGGAACATATGTAGACCTTCAAGAACTTGTTATCCAAGTACGCCACTATAGTTGGTTAACTAGTAGTTGGAGATGGTAGTAAAAGTTGCGCAGAATATTTCACTACATGCAACTTAAATAGAACTCGGAGGATACCAAACGCTTTTTACTTCAACGTCATAGAATACTTAATTTATATAGAATCCCTGTATTATTTCTCCTTCAAAACATCTCACCTGCCAATCAGGTTTCAACTTACAAACCCAAGTACATTAAGTTGACAAATTTTAATAATAAATTTTATTTATTTTCTCTTCTATTGCTGTAGTTATTAAAAACCTCCTTGACGCTTCGCACTTTTCCCTACACAGCTTTTATATTTGCAGTTAATTTCTTGAGCACTTGCCAAATTGTTTGTAATTTGTATGTCAATTTAAGCAAATTTTCATCATTATGACTGACAAAATTGCACCCATCACATGTTTCTGCAGCAAAAAATAAAAATAAAAATATAATTTACAAATAGCGTAAAAGTGAAATATAGCAGAACAGGTAAGCGAACGAGATATAAATAAGCATTTGATGAAACAAAAAAAATATATATATAAGTGTATTTAAAAAATAAAATACGAAAACACTAGCATAAACTGCATAAGATTCGTTTTGTCATTAGCAACATCCTTCTAATCAGCGACTTAAGAAAGAAAAAATAATAATGCAAAAACATAAAGCACAATAATTATCATCAACGCCAGCAACTGACACATTTCGATATGTACGACCACTTGTGACTAATGTTTTTTTATTTATTTTTTCTACTTCACAGCTCAGGTCAGCTGTGTGCCGATTTCTTTTTTTTTTTACAATCCATTGTTTGTTCTTCATTGAATTTTCCATATTTTCTTGACGCTTTTATTAACTCTTGTCCGTGACATTATGACAAACTACACAAAATGACACTTGAGCACTTGACACTTGCAGCTTGACAGAGAAGATTGTTTAGTGTCGCACAAAAAAGTACAAAGACACTAACTTATCTCAAGATGGTTTATCTGCGCATGAAAATCTTGGGAGTGTGAAAATTTTGCGCTTGAATCCGGTTAGAAATTGTGCCATTCAAACAGAAAGTTATTAAGCTGTAGGTGAGCGCAGACGTTTATGTTTGTGTGTGGGTATTTGTGTGCAACGAAGAAAAGTGGGTTAAGCTGTGCCATAAAATTTATGTAAATTTACTTAAGAAAAACTTCGACGACTTAAGCCTTTGCGGGTGAGCGATTATTCACCACACTGATAGTCATAATATTTGGAGCCATTTTAATATATTTTTTTGTTTTATTTCTTATTGTATTTTTTGTTGCATTTTTCCGTTGACATTTTATGTACGTTGTAAAGGTATAAATATTGACTATAAATTTTTAGTGTTTTCGAAAAAAAAATGGTTTTAGTGTTGCGGTAAAATTTTGCAGAATTTTTTGTTAGCACATCAATTGTGAAAGCGTTAAGAAAGAAAAGCTTTTATGACTTTTGTGTGGCAAGAGTTTATATACACATTTACATATGTATATGTACATATAAACGTTGGATAGAAAAAATCAGTTGGGCAAAATAGTTGTATGTAACAAAAATTAAAAATATGAAAAGAACTGAAAGTTGTATTTTACTTTCTTATTCAAGATTTTTTTCACATCAACAGACCCTGAATGAAAATGTATATGTAGTTCAATGTCTCAGTAAGACTTGTACTTACAATTTTTTTCTATTCACAAAAATTAAATTTGAGAAATTACGTTCAAGTCCAGCTAATGGAGGAAATTTTGGTTACTTAAGTGTAGGACATTTCTACTTCTCATTTTTTCATTTCCTCTTTAAACCAGTTCGTAGTGTCAAACTAACTGAGCAACTGCCGCAACTTCCTATTTTAAAGAAATAGAAAATGCGATATTTTAACAATTGCAAACTGTTATAGAGAGAATTCTTTACGAGAAAATTTTTTCAACTAATTGGTAACCGGTACTAAAAATTCGGATTTTTCGATTTCCTTTTTGAAAGTACCATTATAAAAAGATAGGCGCGACCACACCGACCGCTTTCTCAAAATTAGTCGCCGGTACTCAAAACTGGGTTTTTCGAAATGGGCAACCGGTACAAAAAAACCGATTTCATTTATTTAAAATACCGTGATGTAATCAATGTAGGCAGCTGTGGTGTAGTATGGTAAGTAGTGCGCGCTTCCACTACGCAGGGTTTAAGTTTTTATAAAAAAATATTTGTTAACTGCATACCCAAAAAATTTATAAAACTTTGGTTAAAAAGCTCGAAATTTAGATAAAAATTTGAGGATTGTTTCTTATTTAGATACAAATTTGAGGATTTTTTCTAAATTCTGTAAAAAATTTTAAATTGTGATTTATATGGTTTTTTGTGAAAGCATGAAACATATTTTTATAAAAACATATATAAAAAAAT